ATGGGAGGTATCGATTTCAATTGTTTCATCTTATGTCCAATGGTAGAAATGGGTTTTCACTATCCGCAAACAATTCTGAACCTTATTTACTTGTGCAATATAGCATTTTAAAATTGTTCTTATAAACATTTGGTATATTCTATTGACGTTGAATTTTCCGAAATCTACATCGTTTTACTATACAATAACGTAATAAATGTTAAAATAAACGAAAAATAAAAACATGAAGATTTTAATCTTTGACTAATAAGAAATCTCTTTCTTATATTAATTACTAAAGTCTCTCACTAGATGTCACTTATGGCGCTGAAAACCGGAAAACCAGTACAAAGATCTATAACAAAAACACAGAAGAATTTCGTCAACTCGATAACTTGACCTGTAACTCAGTTGGTACAGAACAGCACTACGGTACAGCGTGGTCGTGGATTCAAGTTCCATCGAGTCGAAGAAGTTTTTCTTTGTGTTCGATTTTTGTATTAAAAAACATAACAAATTAGTGGAGTTATTTCACAAAAATGTCTTTATTTATAATAAGAAATACCTAAATTATTTGAACAGTAAGAAAAACACAGACAATTTTTACAGTTTTATAAATCTAACCCATCCATGGTACAATTACATGCCATCAAAGTTTATGGACTAGTCCACACACGACTCATATGGCGACTTTAAACTAAAATGACATGCCGTCAAAGTTTATAGAGTAGTTCATAAGTACGACTAACATCGGTTCTGGTACAAACTCGCATCTTCAAATTCTTCGATCGTGAAGGCGAAATAATGACTTAAAACTAAAATTACATGCCGTCAAAATTTGTGGAGTGTCCGTGATCGCCTCTTCCACAACTCTAAATATAAAATGAAATCTTCGGTCTTTTTCTTACTGATCACAAAGACGTGCACTAAACTAACAATAAGTGCAATTTACGTTGGTCATCTTCTTCTTATTGGTCTTAAGAATAATTATTGAACTTGTAGAATCTTTATAAATTGTAAAAGTGTTCTTAAACGTTGAATTTGTACTTGTACTAACGATCTGAACAATTTCGTGATTTTATCCCAAACAGGGTGAATAATTTATACATATTTAAATTTATTAATTGGTTTAGAAAAACTAATAGATACCTACTTAAAATATATAAGAGATCTTTTGAAATTGTGGTATTCAACAATTTTATTACCACAAAATTTTTGAATGGTTCTGAAAAACCAATTTTTAATCAAAAAACAATTCCTAAAAAAAGAGATGTGAAACAATTGATAACAAAATTATAATTTATTAAGATATAAAGAATAGATTTTTTTCCGGCTTATATTTCATTCACCCTGTTTCAGTTTACACTTGTTGGAATGTTACGATTGTGAAGCCAGCCGTCACCATACAAATAGCGAAAATGACTGTGTTGGTACAGAAACTACTAATATTGAAAAGAAACTGTCAAATAAAGGAATAATAACTTACTTTAGCCCAGCTCAACAAAATTAATTACTTTGTAAATACATATCAGTGTCCCTAATGCCACTGTTTCAAAGTACCTTGCGCTCTGGTATCGGAGTTTCACAATCGTCTTAATTCTTATGTGATACGTGATACTGGGTTTCGCAATCTTCTGAATTTTTATGTGATACGCGACACTGGGTTTCACAATCTTCTTAATTCTTTTGTGATTTGTTATGCTAATTGAGTCCCAAATGTTTAATTGGATTCGTTGTCGTCATTGACGACATTCGACGGTTGTCGTTCACCCTGTGTAACAAAGCCATTATATAATTGTACTATTTAAAATTTTCTGTAATAACATAAAGTGTTTGTATTTTGTCCATTTCAATTTTGGTCTAGTGTATAACTCTGACACCATATTATAAACGTCTTTGTTTTCATAGTAAATATACTTTATGATAGTTGTGTCATAATTATCTTGATTTGCATTGACTTACAATTATATGGACGTCGGGTCCGCGCTAAAAAGTGTCCGAACTTATAGGGCGTTAAAATCGTATACAGAGCGTCATTCACGCTGTAGTCTTCGTTTGTGCGACTGACAGCGAAGCAAGCAAAATTAGACAGTATTGCGATGACATTACAATTTAAATCTAACGTTTTAGCTTTTTCATATTCCTTTACATGTCACTACGTTTAAATAGGTTGACTTGGGACATTTTTTTCGTGGTTTTTGTATTAGACCCGTCGTCCATGTATTTGTAAGTCAATGTTGTTTTGGTACTTTTTACAATTATGTCTTTGTTACACCGTATGTGCGATATGGTTTTTAAAGTCATGTGTTCTACATTAACTTTATTATGTTTTTGACGAATCGTATCAGACAACATTTCAAATTTTATTTTCACAAACTTGGCTTGTTGATGCTAACCTATGTATATGCTTAATTTTAAGTTACAATTGTATTTACAAATAACAAAAGAAATAGACTAGAAACATAAGGACCTTAAAATAAAGATTACTATGAAAGTCTACTTATCTGACTGTACTTGACATAGCCGAACATGTACTTTATAGTAATTGGACATACAACTTTTGATCTCAATTCACCGAGTTTTTAAACAGTTAATAAATTATGGGTACCTGTCGTTGTGATATTGTACTTTTGAATAGTGCGAGCAAGATTCGATGTGGATTAAATGGTAATGGCATATTTTAATGTATCTATATCGTTTTATTTTTAACATCCTTATTTTGTCGGTAGCTGTACCTAGACTTGTGAAAGTGCTCGTCCAAGCAAGTACTCAAATTCAAATAATCTTGATTTAATAGGTAAGCAAATTACACTTGATATCGCCATGATTAAACTCTACTGCTCATTCGTAAGACAGATTCACAGACCACATAAATACTAAGATATATTCCTCAAAGAAGAATGAGCAAGAGACTCTAGGAGTTGCTCTTTACAATATTTATTTCAAACATGACAGATCAAGACTAACTGCAAAAGTTAAACGGGTCACTACCACCGATTTTTGTCACCCAAATGCGCAGAAGCGGTAACCCATCACTAACTCGAATTATTTTTCTCCGAAATGACGTTTGTTCGAACTTTCATTACAAAATTAAAATAAATTAATTATAACGAAACCATTGTTCTTTCAGAATATGTTGGATGTTTATCGCAAAGACAAACACACAACTTTTCACCTCATTATAGCGAGGAAAATATATATTGCTGCCGTCAAGCATTAATGTGAGCAATACTGCGTTCCGATTTTAAAGGGTAAAGCCCGGCGCCCATTGGCGGGATGATACGTCAAGAAATGGTAAGGTTTTGAACGGTAAGGGTGCTGGTGAAATTACAGGCACATGGCTTGTCAACTTATATCTCAGAGTGACAAGTTGACAAGCCATGTAGCATAAGGAATTTGAAAGAAAGAAAATGCATTTATTTTTGTTTACCACATCAAGACTACAACGACACCACAAAAAAAACAGAAATAAAACAGAAGAAAAACAAAACTTAATCAAAACATTCAACGTAAAACGTAAATAAATGGTGACCGTCAGGATGGCTGGTCGCCTGTGGCATCTCGCATTGAATGTATATTCAAGAATTGCTACCTATTTGCTACCTTGTCTAAATAATGGTTACCTTTGACCAGCCATTCTGATATTAGAATGGCTGGTCGCCACTTTGTTCAGCATGAAGGGAGCAGATTTTCCAGAAGTATTACCAATAATTGCTACTTTCATGAATTAAAGGTATGCGCTTCTTATCTACATTAGTTAAAAAATATAAGCGATACAAAATTTTACTGAGATTTATTTATAGAGAATAAGGAATTAAAAATATACAACAAATTGTATTATGAGTGTAAAAAGATTATATCGAAATGGATTGCGAGAAAAATATATGAAGAAGGCGAGGCTCTGCTTGACGTCCACTCTTAAATACACGTACTTACCCATACATAACACACACGATAATTTTAATATTTTTGTAATTTTGAACGGTATATTGAGAAATGAAGGGTACAGGAATAAAAAGGGGTCATCAACAAAAAGATTAATTAGAGAAAATGGCTAATTATAAGTTTAAACCTTAATTATTCGTTAAAGAGCCAGAATTAAAAGTTATTCTCTGTATATTGTACATTTCACTTGCCTATAACATTACTGAAATCATCATTTTTAACCATATGTTCAATCATAACAAAGTTGTGTCATTTTTTTTAAGGTAACTTACAAATTAACATAGCAAAAAGGGGCTGATTGCTGCAATGTGCCCCTTATTACCTCTTTGACATAGTGTTTATAGGTAACCAGGAAATAATAAAAAATAATTAATTTGCAAAAGTTTATTAATTGAAGCTATACTTTCTTTCACTTTCCATTTTATCGAATTACTTTTCTACTCGAAATTCGCAAGAACACGCACAACTTTATCGAACGAACCACGAAATCTAAAAATGTGTTTGACGTTCCTAATGTCAACGCGCCAAAGTATGACAGATCGTTCAAAATGGCTGCGCAATGGGTACGTTCTTGAATTGGACTGGAAAATGAGCACGTTTTTCAACGCTTCCGCATGTAAGCCCCTATTAGTCATTTATGGACTGTTTATTATATGGGTTTACTGTGGACTGAGCCCATTTCAAGCTGTTTTGAATAAATCACGTCAATGGCATGTTTGAAATTTATCAAATGAAGATGGTAGGTTGAATTTTACCAAAAATGTCGATGAGCCCCTTTTTTTCGTGTACCCTTCAAATGTGTTTTGAATGATTAGTTGGTTTTTTGTAATTTAATACGTGTAGCGAATGAAGAGCGGTGCCTCCTGACACAGGCTATGGTTAAAAGGAGACTCCAGCCACTATTGTTCAAGAAACCAAGTTTTTAAGAAATAAAGATTTTATTATTATTATTATTGTTATTAGTAATACAATTGAAAAGTTTGGACTCTTTGCTTTCATAAAGCCATATTCCTATACGACAAAAAAATACGGAATTCTTCGGAGTTGACATTTTCCAGGTTTAAATTGTCATGGCCCGTCAGAATTGCACTGAAATGTTTATAAATACATTAAATGAAACGTAGATGACTGTTGATGTTTCAATTATATTGTTTTTCAAATTATTTTTCAAAATTCTCTAATATGGTATGTATTGTACCAATACTGCTAAACAGATACCTGTAGTACTCACTTTGACAATCTTTTAGTGACCGTCCTGAGATAAGAAAACTTTCTTACAACCCGCAAAGTAGCCCTTCGTTTTAGTGTAGTTTAGGCTGTTGTGAATATTGACTGCATTAAATTGTGTTTATATGGCTGCCAATCAGGAAGACGTCGACGAAATTGAAGACATTGTAGGTCAAGTGACCTACACAGATTCCCAAAAAAGTATTCCTACCACGTTAACTTCCTCTCGCGTGTACTCGTCTGACTTTACGGATAGTAGTGAAGACAGGAACAACTCGTCTGGCAAGGAGACGTACCTAGTAGAATGCGACAGCGAAGACAGTGAAAGGACCTTTCCTCTACGCCACACTGCTAGTACTATCATCATCAACGACCACCAGAAAAAATCGGTCGCTCTCAATGTCAGCGTTCAGTGCGCTAATAATATCTTAACTAAGTCTACCACCACCAGCCTTCAAAGATGTTCCATTCTAGCCCAAGAAACTTTCACACAGACCAGCAAAACCATCATAGAGCTGGCCGAAAAAGAAGGCATGATTAAGGTTCCACACAGCAATTCTCTTCAAACACAAACGTCCATCATGTCCATTACAGAAAATAAAACAGTAGAATACAGAATAGAACTATCTAGTGCCCATAGCACATTTTCAAAGACAGAAATTGTTTCAAACACTCGAAAAGACACAAAATACATTAATGATACTTTCAATGGCACGCCTCCTCATTCTATAGACGAAAGCACTTCAAAGTTTCCGGTTTCCATATCGTTATCCGAGGAGAATGTTTACAATGACGTTAATAGAAGCGCAAGTAGCTCTGATCAATTAATTAGGATACTAACGGACGATTCTGAGGATACAATTATGAGTGACGTATGTAACGTGCGTGATGAAATAAACACTTCAAATTTTCATGAATTATCGCTGCCAGGCTCTGATATGGAGGAAGACTCTCTCAGGAGTGACAGTCCAAGAAGTGGAAATGGGAACACATACTGTGACATAAAAGAGCTCCGAGAAAGGTTAGCTGAAAGCGATGTGTACAATAATGAACAGACGTTTGATGTCCCAGATATTATACGCCTTGGCGGTACTTTGACGCCTTTGACTGAAGAATCAAATGTTAGAAAAGAGAGTTCAGTTGAGATATCTCCGCCAACAGATGTTAGTGGTGATGCAAATCATGATAATAACGTTGAATTATTATTTACTAGCAACACTGGGCTGAAAGTGAAAATGATGAAGAACAGTGAGAATAAAAAAGAACCATTTAAGTTACCTCCGATCAATCCAAGACACCACTCTCGTCCTAACAGCCCGCCGTTATTGAATTCGCTATTTAACAACAATTCAAATAGTTTAAACAAGTCAGGCACATTGCCTAGTCTTTTCGAGAAGAACAAAGATAGATGGGAAATAAGAACGAAAAATTTAGCATCTGGGGAGAGTCCCCATATTTATGACTCACGTAATGGTAAGCGCTCGTATTTCATTTACATATTTATAAAGTTTATAGATCTCGGTGAATTCTTCAAACAAGCATTTTATAATTTTTAGCTTCTCCGCTACGGAAAGGCATTCAATTGCCTCCAATATGTGCAGAGAGTCCCAATCAAAATAACGAGAAATTTGACGTGTTTTCAAATCTGAAGAGAACTAAGACCAATGTTTCAAGTTTTTCTGAGCAGGATGCGATTAGCATCAAACAAAAAATAAAGGAATTGAAGTCGGTTACAAACAGACGTTTGAGATCATGGTCACAAACCAGGTCAGTTTGTTGGGACAATTAAACGTAGGATATCTGTTATATACTCCCGGACACATAATTCCAGCCACCTCGCGTTTTTGCCTTAAAGGGCTAGAATACAAAAATTGTGTTATCATCGAAGAAAAGGTTTCCCCCAGTTTTGCAAGTCTGAATTTCCAAAAAGGACTTATGGAGTTGACTTTTAATATTCTAGTTTCAAAATTGCGTAGGACAGTTCTTGATCAATCAAACATTATTTAAGCATGGTTTAAGCTTAGGACATTCAATACTGATGCGAGGTGGCTCGAATTATGTGTCCGGGAGTGTATTAACACGAAAGCGTCATGCATACAGGAAATAAGTTTTAGGAAGTGGATACGGCAGCCTTTAAAAATATACATGAGCTCTAAAAGGTCCTGTACTTGTAATTGTGCTGGTTGTCTTTACCCTTTAACCCCGAAAACGAAATGGTTAAGATAAAGGTACTTGGCGAATTGCAGTAAAACTTCTTACCACTAGCAAACCCTACCATTAGCAAATCCTTATCATTAGCAAACCCTAATAGTGTGCTGCATCAGGAAATTAGTTATGGTAAAAAAAATCATTCATTTAAATGGACGTACCTAGTTAAGCAAAAAGGATGCAATCCACAAAATTATTAAAAAATTAGTTACGTGTACCAAACGGTTCCTAAAGTCTAACCTCTTAGATCAGCAAAAAAATCCAACATACAAACATAAATAAACATCTCTGGAGTTACATGGCATGATAAGTTTTGAAATAAAATAAGTGGGAGAAACATTTTTAAACTTCAAACTGCCATATCTCGAAAGTGAGCAGATGTGGATTGGATCCTTTTTGTTTAACTACGTCCAAATAGCCATGGGAAAGAACTATTCATTCACTTAAACATTTTGATGTCCTCATAGACCCAGCGGCTTATATATGGGCGCTGGATGAGGAGATACGGGTTCGATTTGTAGAACCGAAGTGGGAACTTAAACATTTCTAAATTGGCTCTGGCCTGGATGTTCTGGGAAGTGCCCCGAGTCAATTCCGTTGCTCTGGTACTTAGTTGAGACCAGGCAATTAATTATAACAATAATAATAACGCACACACTCATAGTCCCGCACCAGGGAAACCCTGTATCGCCTGTGCTATGGACACACATATAGGCAACCACAAATTACAGCCAAACTCACGAGAGGAATATTTGTAGGCCATACAAATACTTCTCCCGACCTGGGAATTGAACCTAGGTCCTCTGCATTGCAATCCAGGAAGGTAACCGCTCGGCCACTGAGGCAGTCTATAATAAGTGTAGTTATCTGGTGGGTTGTAAGCGTTAGTTGGTTAGCTAGATGTTTCCCTTTGGCGGCATGTACAATCAATGCCCTAAGGTACCTGACCCCCTAACCGACTACTTGTTTCTGAGTAGATCAGTGTGAAGAAAGTTGTTAAACAAACAATGTTTAACTTGCGAGCCGAACAAAATCATTTTACGGCATGATTAATGAACAGCGTTGTAAGAAACAATTTCTGCCAATCCATCTTTAATTACATTACATAAATACAAAATTTCAATCACAAAGCTGGAATACCGTTCCGGAAAAAAAGTGTAAATTTTCTGTTGAATACGTAAGAAGACTCGGAACCTATCAAGAAGAGAAAGGGTATCTTAGCGTATCGATTCTACGTATGACTTTAATTTATCAATTATTGGATTATGTTTAAAGTTAACCTCTTGCAACGGTGAAAGAGAAGATGTCGAAGAAAATTCACAACACTTGGAAAAAATGTGCAATCTCCAACCCGCATTCGACCAGCACGGCGGTCTATGGCATAAACTCTTTCCTTGCCCTTGTAGGGAGAATAGACGGCTGTTGATGATTCATATTATTATTTATGGTACAGGAAATCAGAAAGAAGAAGTAGCTCCCCCGGTAGTATCTCATCGCCTGATAGATGTCTGTATGACCGCGGGTGCGACGTGGTTTGTATAGATCTATTGAAACGACTGCACTCTTCATCGTGGTAAGTCTTTCATCGGTCGACTGAACTTATAGTGTAATCTATCCACAAATAGAGAAAAACATGCCTCCTACAATACGTGTTGCGGACCTGGCCCTGCTCTCGTTCTCCGACCCACATCCATCTGAAACAATTATTGTCAAATAAGTAGTACTCGAAGCTTCATACTTTGACATTTGTAATCATATTTGACTTGACGTTTCTCTTTTAATATGTTCGAGTAGGTACCTTAGACTATTTAAACCAATTTTTTCCATCCTCTAAGACTTCGACTATGGGCACTAAAGGACATGTTATGTTGACATATATAAGTCAGACATTATATATACGAGTATATGATGCATTTCGACGTTGAAAACATAAACATGTTATTGTCTTTGTTTAACCATTGCGTGCCGTCTTAAGCCAAAAGAGATAGCATTACATTGGTCTGTGTCAAACACGGGAATTGAAAATACGTAACGTCAACTTAAATGCCAACCGTGTCCATTTCGCAGTACATGAGGTACATGATACGGTTGTCAAAGGGAAGTACATCAAAATGTCAAAACAAATGTTTTTCCAAGTATTTTATTGAATTATTCGCATGTATTGTAATAAAATGGACAAAAATATTGACAGTGAGAACATTTAAGTATTGATAAAAATGCGTCGCTGCAGCATTAAGGGGTGCGGCATTAGAAAAAGCCGAAATCAACCGAATGTTACATTACACGTGTACCATGTTATTTTTCTGTCGATAAATCATACAATAACCGAAATATCTCATGTAATTAAACTCATTTAAGTAGTTTATTCATGTCTTGCTGAATTTTGCTTTGGTTACTTTAGATTGCCTGTTTGTTAGTATATTGTGATGATTGTTGATAACGATTATTTTGAGATAGTGTTGTTCTTGTAAGCAGACATATTATCAATATTCTGTTATTAAAATAAAACAATTCACTTTGTGAGGTTCAATTCACGAGGTTTTTATTATTTCATTATTATTATTTTTAAAGTTTAAAGAAAGAAAGAATGGTTGGAAATTATAGGACTGCGGAACATAAACATTAGATCAAATGCCATCTTCATTTGATCGCTCCATTTTGAAGAGTCAAATTTTAATAGAACTTTGAATGTAACTAGATTACATGATAATGCAATTCCATCGTTAAATTTATTGGTAAATAACTTTATATTTAATTTTGATTAAAATGGCTCATTACTTGCCTAGTAATAATAGCCTAGTATTAATCATACTTTGATTACAGTAAACTACAAGATTTGCAAACATAAAAAGCAGCTTCAACATTCAAGTCACACATTTGGATGTCGATATTAACTTATCTATGATTATGGTACAACACTAAATTCGCCATTTGTGTGGTACAATTTTGGTTTAGGTAGGTACGTTTATTTCGTAAATAGGGCAGCTCCTGTCCTCTTTTTTTTCCATCCTCGAAGGTCGAGTATTACTTATTTGACAGTAATGTTTCGGACGGAAATGGGAGTAGAGTTCCAGAAAACGGCCTTATGGTTCAGTCACGTCATAACATCACCTTTTTTAGACTGAAAGACACGCACGCGCGTTTTCGCATATTTCGTTTTTACTGATTTTTGTTAAAGAAAATCTTATAAACTTCTTGCTCTAATATATTATTAAAGTATCTTGCTCAAATATAGAATATAGTATCTGAAACAGGTATAATCTAGGAAATGAAACAATTTTTCCGGACTTAAAACGCGTATATTTGTTTTTTCAAACAAACTAACTTTTCGGGCCCTTTACAGGTCCCATGGCCACGGTTGTTAACCGTTCAAATATACAATATAGTATCTGAAAGAGGTAATAATCTAGGAAATGAAACTATTTTTCCACTGTTGACACCCGTGACGATGGGACCTGTAAAGGGCACGAAACCTTGGTTTGTTTGAAAAAACAAATATACGTGATTTAAATCCGGAAAAATAGTTTCATTTCCTATGTATAATAATCGCTAAAACCTACGAACTCGATAGGTATAATCTAACTAATTAAAATGCTAACTACAGACATTATTGCGTTTACTACATTTCACATCACATCAACTTGTGTAGAGTCTTGTAGAGAGAGTTTTGTAGAGTCCAATAGAATTTAAGACAAGGGAAACACGTTTAGAATTTCATAATGTTGCAGGCATGAGCTAATGGAAACTTTGGAAGAGATACCATCAGCTTTAGATAAATATTGGCGCGTGATCTCGGAATGGCGGATCACTGATCTTATAAGAAAAGTATGTTTTCTAAATAACAGAAGGTATCTGTTAAAACTTATGCAATATTACATTATTACGACAGTGAGAATGCTTACTTATGATCGATTCTGAATATTAATTTTGTTAATAACATTAACATGATTCACGTAACGTTCATTCGGCCTTTAACGTGAATTATGTTCGTAGGTGACAATGCTTATAGAATCAGCTCGCCCACAAGTTGCGCGAACAGCGTGCAAGTGCCTGGCGACCATCTTGAAAAACACTAACTACACTAAGAAACCCGTACGTCCATCTTCTTCTGTCGTTAATCACTTTTATCATACACGATAACGCTTTTAATGCGTTTGAAATGTAATTCATAGTTAGTCAGGGCTAGTGCAAACTGGCAGACGGAGGGAAGAGGATCTTATACCAGCCAACGCACACTCAAGGAGGACATCTCTTATAATACTGCGAGCGTCCGCCAGCGTACCACAGTGTCTACTCCCTCCTATTTGCCGCTACCCTTGCGCATTAAGGCGGGCGCCGGTGCATAACCGGTTGACTCGTTGTTGTGTGTCGTTGTCGTCGTTGTTGCATAATTTAAACATTGACAAATTTAATATCCTCTGCCTTCCCGTCCACCCGTTTGCGCTGGTTCTTAGACTCCTGAAGTGAAGCCATAACCTAAAATTGAAGGGACTTTGCACTGGCGTCGTTCCATAAAAGCGTGATAAAGAAGTAGGTCGCGCGGGTCATAATTACGTCAATGAAAGTAACGTAATTATGCCAGCAGGATTTCCACGAGGCGATATCATCGTTGTTGGTGAAGACCGGCTCTTACAGCCGCACCGTGCGACGCGCTGCCAACGTTGCGCTGGATGACGTCATTTGCAACGTTGATCTCACGCACGCGGTCACCGCGCTATGCGTGCACGGCACTGGGTATGACTACCACTATTTCTATTATAATATAATTGCAGTCCCAAGGTCATGATTTCGACTTCGGTAGCTGTAGAACTCCTTTCGGAAGAATTCGTCCGGAAGAAATACTGCCATATTACCTATTTCTGCCGCCAAGCAGTAATGTGGGCATTACCTACTGCGTTCCGGTTTTGAACTGCAAAGGTCTTGGTGAAATTACAAGCTCATGGGACATGGGACTCAAATCTATGCAATTTAAAGCTCTGAATTGGACTGCAACTGCAATGGGCAGGCGTGTCGCTTACCATTAAATGCACAATTTGTTAGTCTCATTATTTGGTACCATGAAAAAAAAGACAAATCGAGAACGGCTCCGTTATCAAGCGTATTTTTAATATAAATCCTGTTTCGCCTCTCTACAAGGCATTATCTCATGAGTTGTTTCTTGTTTGACGCTAAACAAAGAACTTTCTTCGAAACATATGTCGGGTATTTTTTTGGTGGTGTTGTTTGTGACTATAGTTACGTTTGTGTCATTTATTTCTTTAATTTTATCCGGAGAGAGGGTGGGAAAATTAACTGCATGAAAAAAATATTCATCATAAGCGCAGCTATTTTACACGATTTGATCTCCACTGTTTTCACGAAGTTGTTGTATTGAAATATTATAGTAAATAATTAACATAGAAGCTCAAACTTCATACATTAGAATAATATTATTATAAGATTTTACGCCGGCCAAATTCATCGGCAGCGGCGGCGGCGGTATAAAAAAATCGTCATCACAACTGTAATGTTTATTGAAATATTTTTTGCCATAGTTGTTTGTTTTGATGCATCGAGCATATAACCAGAAATAGAGACGAAATAAGGGCCATATATTCCTGGTAACACATTAACGATACAGCTCTTATAAATATCAACTCTCGTTTGCACTGAAATATAGACAGACCAACTACTGACATGTGTGTACGTCTCCGTATATTCCAAAAATATTATTTATTTATTGGTGGTGTAGGAAAAACAGCAAAACATCTAATTACAAAACAAACGGAATCACATTTCATCGGTAATTAAATATTAAATATGTAATTTTGCAATTTTCGTCCATTATGCCATAATGGACGCTCATTAACTCAAGACGACTGCTCAAGTTAACTGGTCGATTTGAAGTGAAACAGTTGACGACAACCATTGACGTCACCCGTCAATTGTTTCGAACTCGGGCTAACCAATCGGAGCGCAGTTGTTGCAGAACGATATGGCAGAATAGTTTTCAAACAAATTAAATGACATCTCGTCTCTATTTCCGGTTATATACTCGATGTTTTGATGACAACAATTGCTAGCTGCAATATGGTATTATTTTGTTGATATTGGGTCCTTTTGTATTTCCTGAATTCGTAATTGATTCCTCGGATACCTTTTCGTTGTACTACTGTATTCTATATTTTTCTCCAAACAGGCACAAGAGTGGGCTTGTAAGATGTGCAGCAGCCCGTCTTCTGGTGGTGTCGTGCGCGCTAGCGAGCGGAGGTCGAGACCTGCTCCGCACCAGACCCGCCACAGCCGTCACTGCCAGGCGTCACGCGCTTAGAGCTCTGTCGGCCATGTTGGACGATAAGAGCGCTGATGCCCGGTAAGTAGGATTATAAACCTTATTTCGTACAAGTAAAGGCAACACTGAATTAATTGAAGCTACTACACACTGAAAAAGAAACTGACTCTTATCAAATGGATCTTATGAAATAGTCACACTTCTTGATTTAAGAAATCAAATCATATATTATTGTGATTGATTCAATTAAGCAGTGTGAATGTCTCAGTAAGTAGTGTGAAAGATATAAATTCTGTATATTTTTCAAGATTATACGAATAAAAAAGATCACTATGACTTTGTTTGAGCAGGTCATTACGTCTCTGGTGCTCTCGTGTTTGTCTCTTAGGCACTCGAAAAAGTGATATGTCGAAGTATGTAGGTATGTATCGTTGCCAAGTCGACCTTATTTGGGCTTTGTTTCGTTTATCAGTTATGTATAGGTAAATCTGTCGTTATTCTGATGAAGGTACAGTCATTTTCATTAATATTTGTTTCTAGACAATTTTCATTCACGTTCACGGCAATGATGATGTTATCTGGGTTTTTACCCATTTCTGTCGAAAATCGTGGGCGAAAACGACCAATGCGGAATTTGGTATAATTCCATAATTATTACAAATTTCGATGTACAGAGGAACTCCACGCAATGTCCACATTGCAATCCTGTGGATTCTCACTACCAAGGATGCACATTACGTTCGATTTTTATGAAAATGATTCAAGTGCATACGATCTTACGATTTTTTATATCGATTTATTTCAATTCGATTCAATTTAATAAAAAGGCAAATCGAATCATCTAGACCAGACAGCAATAAACATTTTGCAACAATATCATTAGAGAACAATGGCAAAATCATTCTTAAAATAATTCGTTAGCGTCTTCAAATGTCTTAATTACAAGTTTGAATAAAATAAATTCACTAGGTTTTTCAAATTATAATAGTGGCCTGTCTAAATCTGGAAATAAAATCATATTTAAAAGAAACTCTAAAGACTAATTAGTATGTAACCGGACTGATATCTACAACTATCAGTTTCTTACTTTCGTAACGTTGAGCGAAATCTAGCCCCCAAAAAAAGAAATTTCAGTACCTACGTATCGATATGGTCAGCATTTAGTTCACGTAATATCAATACTATGTTGAGTGTGTGCGTTAAATGTACTGATTCGACCGATTTGCAATAAGCTAATAAAATTGTTGTGAAATTAACTACTTCATTACAAAAAATAAAGTCGATAATTCCTACTCCAAAATACCACGAGAGAAAATGGTAAAAACTGACAAAAAAGTTCCCAAAACAAAAAAAAAAAAAATTTGTGTTCAAGTTATCAGTGCCATAGTCTGTGGTATGTTATTAATTAACTCAGTTTTTTGTTATGGGTTGACTTCATGCCTTTTGTCCATACCGTATACAAAATAATTTTGTAGTTTCTGTAGTTTATTTTGATATAATAATACACCGAATATATTTTATTAAATTACGTAACACATAACCTCCGAAACTTCTAACTGGAATATCTTTATTTCCTGACTTCTCAGAATAGTAAACCCAAAACAAAATTTGTTGAAGGATTTCAAGTCCATATTTTCACATATTTTTCATAAGCAGACGCATACAAATTATGATTAAAATAAAATTTAATAAAATTTATATGGTAGTTTGCCATTGTCCTTTGAACAAAACTCGACTTACAACATATATTTCCTTTCCTAAATGGTTTTTGTTTTTTGTTTGTTTTGTGGTTGTTGTCTTGTGAATGGGCTTCTGGACCTAATTACTCTAGCTGTTCTCTCAATTCTTCCTAGGAAATATGCAGAGCGTCTGTTTTCCATGCTTCGTCCTCTATCTAACTTCGAAGCATTCTACTTGACGGATGTGGACATGGAAACGGCTACGAAACAAATGAAGAAATACGAGCAGATGCTAGCCTGCGGACCTCCCAAGAAGGATAGATGATATGACGTCATATTGGTGACGACTTAGATATTAAGGTCACATTCCTTACAGCACGAACTGCTGACACGTAAAGGAATAAAGTTTATAAATTGTTTTTTTCTAGTTACTTATACATGTTCACACTGTAATGTTTGTGTGTGCGTGATATTATGTAGAGATTGAGAGAATAATTTGACTGGGAAAGGAAAGTCCAATGAGTACTAGTAAATGTGACAAAATAAAGTTTTGTTGTGGGTGTTCGTATCCAAAAAAAAAAATCTAAACATCCACAACTTCCTGAGGTAGGTCCATAAACTGTCACTTTTCCTGAAATACTAAATTGATCATAATGCATGAGTTACAAGGCATATTTTTAAATCACTTTGTGGCCCTACGCATTTATTTGCTATGCAACAGACTTCTGCGTTTGAGACCGCAACTGAACTTTTTCACATCTGTTTCCGTTTCCGCAACTTTTATAGCGGAAGAGATGGATGACGAGATGATCCGCATCCGCTTCCATTTCCGTAATGATTTACTTGTCACGTCTATGTCTGTTTTTGTTTCCATTATGACACTTCCGTCGCATCACTATTTATAGCCATACATAATCTCTAGATTTGCCTTTTCCAGCGAAACGCGAACGTTGTATCTCGAATCTTTTAGTGCTATTCTGACATGTATATGTATAAAAAAACTAAAAACGGCAAAAGGTAATTGAAAATTGAATGATGATATCGTAGGTCATAATGTGTAACTTGCTAGTTAATGCAACAAAAATAATAATATTTAGTTTTGTTTGCTTATGAATTACGTAAAAATTTTTAACGTTCTTTTAACTATAGTTTGTGAACAGCCTAATTTACTAGAACTGTTTTATCAAGTTGTTTTTGCAAATAATTTACTTTAAGTACGGTTTTAAACTACTTGTGTGGTCTTGTGTTTAAATTTTCTTCCGATTAATGTAAAATAAGTTACTGAGATTGATAGTAAAGAATTTTATCATAACATCTTCTTTTAATATTATTTCTTCAGACGTTTTAGTGATTCTGATCCGAGAACGTACGTACCCTGGGCAACAATCGGCGGGTACCGTACGCAGATTGGGCAAATTCTTCCACGATGGCATGCAGCGCCGGCGTTACCTACGGTGCAGGGTATTCAGCTCACATGTGGTATTGCTTCCCGACATCATCTACTGCCATGCCTTAATGAATGTTTCCAGGATGGAAAGAACAGTAGTGCGCCTGGTGGTAAGCGACACGCCATACTGTTGCAGTGCCACTCAGAGCTTTAAATTGCAAAGATTTTAGGGGTTCTGCCGCTGCGCCCGTTACCCTGAATTATAAGTTGACAAGTTTCATATGCCTACAATTCCACCAGCATCCTTACCCTTCCAAACCGGAACGTAATAATGATGCTCATACTGCTTGGCGGCAGAAATAGGTAAGATGACAGTGCTTCTCTGGACGAACTATTCCACAAGGAGCTTTATTGGCACTAAGTATGCCATCGATATGATAAGAAGAAGAAGAAGAATATGAAGAAGACTTAATATTTATATAAAATCAAAAGACAATCATAGAAGCGGTAATTTTGTATAAATGTTTACTTCTTATTCATTGACTTACAAATAAATGGACGACGGGTCTAATACAAAAACCACGCAAAAAATGTCCCAAGTCAACCTATTTAAACGTAGTGACATGTAAAGGAATATGACAAAGCTAAAACGTTGAATTTAAATTGAAATGTCATCGCAGTACTTTCTAATTTTGCTTGCTTCGCTGTCAGTCGAACAAACGAAACTAAAGCGTGAAAGACGCTCTTTATACGATTTTAACGCCCTATAAGTTCGGACACTTTTTAGCGCGGACTCGACGTCCATATAATTGTAAGTCAATGTTCTTATTACTTATTATAAGATTTCTAAAGAAATGGTATTTCACATTTTATATGATAAGGGGCATTATTGCTTTTAATCCGCTCTGACTCGACGAACGATATCTATGTAGCTCTGAGTAGATCTAAGTTCCAGTTTCTAGGTCGTATATTACATAACAAAATGACATAAGTTTACATTGTCAACGACAATTAGTGAAGCGCGTGTACTTTTTATCAGTTACTACAAAATTTTGTTTCAGTAAGCATAATATTTATCTTTTAAACACGTGTATCGCGTTTCTTGCGTACGCGTGCACTTGATCTTGTAAGATAATTTCTGAAATTCGTAACGTTTGTATATTAGGTGCTACAAGTATGAAATTGCCGTTTCCTGCTGAAAAATTAAAACAATTTGTTATAATTATTAATACAAAGATCGAACACTTGGAAACAAATTTTCATAGATTTCTCATAGATGGCGCTACGGCTAAACAGTCGTTGAAAACCAAATACAAAAATCAAACAATAAGCACATAGAGAAATTCGTACCGTGGCTTCGCATCTGGCGCGGTTTGCTAGAAGATGTCGGTTCGAATCCGGCCGGATCGAAGGGATTTTTTCTAAGTGTTGGATCTTTGTATTAATATTATAACAAACTAGTGAGTAATTTCACAAAAAATAATTGAATATCATTCAATTCAAATTTAATGAAAATAATTTTTTTAATATAAAATATAATATTTTGTTTGTTATAAGGTTTTATAAGGACTGTTTGAAAAAAAAAATATACGCGATTTAAGTCCGGAAAAATAGTTTCATTTCCTATGTGTAACAATCGCGAAAACCTTAGAACTCGATAAATATAATATTTGTTTAGTCAAAGTTTTTACCCTCGTTGTCTATACATTTCTGCCATCTAATCGGAAGGTCATTTAAACCTTTGCGATAGAACTCTGAAAATATGGTAGTCGGTTGGCCAGTCTAAGGGCCAGTACGGATGGTTTCTAACTGCTGGTTTTGTAGTGTTAAAACTGTTTCTCGAGCAGTGTGATGTGTTGCGTTATCATGGAGCAATTATGGTAAAGCTGGTTTGCTGCGAGTTTCGCCGTCATTATTCAAATGCTATTATGTCATATTATGGGTAGGTATCAGTGGCGACGCGTCCATATAACTCGATTCCCACCAATTAAGCCTAGAATAAGTTAATCAATGAAATTTTGTTAAGTATCACGAGGCGTCTTTTTAACGGCAAAAAAGTTTTTGTTAAGGTAGGTGTTTTTGTTTAGGCCGGCTTTACTAACGACTATTTTCACGCCTCGCTACTGGTAGGTATGCTAACAATAAACCAACTTCGCTAATTCCTTGGTAGTTTGATACGAATCGGCTTCCATCATCACCTTCAATTCATCGTTATTTACCTTAGTGACTGGTCTACATCGTGGTTTATTCGTCAAGTCGAAAGGACTTGTACCGAATTAGTATGGAGCTTGGTACTTTATTCCCAGAAAAATTTATCCAGGCTCAATTTTTTTTCCTAGATATAAGCTTGAAATAAAGAGCTTAGCAAAATAATTAAAATTTATTTATTTTTTATTTATTTATTTAAAACAGTGGTAGATACTTAGAATAATAACGCATAGAAACCTAGTCCGCATACGCTAAGTGAGGCAAATTGAAGCACTCCCACTGGGCCTACACGAGCGGGCGGGCCTTCAGCGCTCAAGGTCAACTTGCACCGCGAATAGCTCCAGAATTTTAGCTAAAAATGACGAAATGTGCGGTAAGTGAGTGTAAAAATACGTCAGACAAACATAAAATAGATACTAACTCACATTCCACAAGGAAGTTACGCGTTTCAACTTGTATTTTTATATAAATATTCACTAAAACCGAAAATTAACCTACTACTAAAACTAGCCTACATGAATTTGATTTTTGCCTCACCTGTGACAGTTCGTTTGATATGAAACTATCATTCTATGCGTTATTATTCTAAGGGTAGACATCATTGACTTACAAATAAATGGACGACGGGTCTAATACAAAAACCACGAAAAAATGTCCCAAGTCAACCTATTCGAAATTTAAATTGTAATGTCATCGCAGTATCGCGCTGTCAGTAGAACAAATGAAGACTAAAGCGGAGTGTCGCGCTCTGTATACGATTTTAGCGCCTTACAAGTGCGGACACTTTTTAGCGCGGACCCGACGTCCATATAATTGTAAGTCAATGGTAGACATGTTAAATTATTTGCAGCAACACAGCGATACCAAAAAAAATCCAAAAAGCAGCAACACTTAAACGCTAAAATATTCAAAATCACAATTCTAATTGACTAATTAAATTACAACAAGCATGCAACAAGATTGACTTTGACATCTGATCTGTAAATATTTTTTATGGCTTGACTAATGGCACAATAGCCAAAAAAATTACATAAAAATCCGTTTCGTTTCGTGGGATTGCGTTCCGTTTTACTTTACATAGTATTAAAAATATTCCCTTAAATCCCTAACGATTTTCTGGAAATTGCAGATCAACAATAATTTGTTTTTAGTTCAGACTTTTTAGATTTTGAGAGCTCTTTACAAAAAACCAGGTAATAGCCTGGTTAAAATTTCCATTTATTTTAGTACCACCGAAGGAACAACTCCTTTCGAAAATTGTCGAAATACGAACGGTGCGTTCCTTAGTCGTATCCTCTCCAAACACAGCATTGACGGAATGTGTGCATGTGCGTTATAATTTGTAACTACTAATTATTTATATATTTAGAATGTCATACACATACCCAATATTTATGTTTGGTAATAATAAAATTATTATTTCACGTTTCAAGGTGGTTTAGAATAGTGATACAGAGACGAGTATTGAAATCTCGCCGGTTTATTTCCATCATTGCAATTAATAGCTCGCGCTGTTTGTGGATTGAAGATTCAGTGTTGCTCAGTTCGCCTAAAGAAACACGTTCCGCAAATTATTAAATATGTTAACTGAAGCAGAATCAGATGAAGCCATTTTTTTTTTAATCTCAAATCGTACGTACCCTCTAATCTCGTGATTGATATTTTAATAGCCAACGTGAGCCCACGCGAGATCGTGCGAGCTTTCATATTTTCATTGCAGAGTATAATTATTTTGGGCATGGTATCGTACAGATCGCTTGAGACCAGGCGAAAACTGGCGCTTCTAGAATATATTTTTAACCTAATAAGAGGATGTATAATTAACCCTCCTCTATTGGCTCAAATTCCTTTTTTTATCCCGCCAATCTCACGTTACGTCTTTCGTCAGCTCTAATACCCTCTATTCGACTTTCATTTAACCCGCGCAGTGACATTAAGACGGACACCGTTCTTCGAAGCCCTAGCCGTAATTGAATCCTTAAGCCAAACATATGATATTGACGTGTTCAGCAACACTGAACCAGAATTTCTAACATCCGCTGGTTACTATTTGGAGGCGGTCACCGCCCAAAACTCTGTGGTCCAAATCCCGTATCTTATATCGTATCTTTGTCCGGTGATCGACTCAACCTTTTTTGTGACTATGATTTACATGTTTAGTTATAAGTACTGTAAGTGTAAGTTGTGCAAAATAAATAAATAAATAAATAATACTCTATGTGGGCAGCAATACGGTTCAATACAGATCAACAAATATTTTCTCGTCAAACGAAGATGTGCTAGGAGAGAATTGATACTTTTGCCATACTTTCAATCGTCGTCACGTCTCGCCCCTGGAAAAGGGGTACTTTTTTATTTTTTCAATTTCAAACAATTTTTTTAAAAAACGACGATTCTTTATCGCTAGGTTAAAAACTTAGAAATCACTTTTTTGACTGTTAATCGTTAGAGCAAATGTTCTTTCGAGATTTTGATACATCGATGTGGCAAACCTTAGAGCTCACGTTCCATAGGCCAAACGGACAATCGAGCCAATGTTCGATCA